AAAGGAAAACTAAATGAGGACTCAGAAAAATATTAGTTTGGGAAAAAGAAAGTGTATGAATTATCTCATCTTTTCCATCACTTTAGTGGAATTTTAGACAATACTGAGTGTAAAATATGTTTTATAGTGTCTAATATTCAAATGAAGTTTGTCGGAGATTTTAATAAAGACTATGATGAATTTTCTAGATAGGGCTGATCCCAAGTCAAATTGAAAAAGTAGTAGATGTGGTTTGTTTGGGTTTCTTTCCCACCTGCCCTGTTTTTCCAGAGTCTAACAAGAGTTTCAGTCTCACAGGCACTTGCTATCAGAACCAGTGTTTTGGTTTCGTGTGTTTTTGGAAAGAAGTAGTCTCTGCTCTGAGAAATTAACTGGTGGGGACTCTGATTGCTTCACTGCCCCAGGACTTGACCTTTCCGATGGGAATTCTCCATGAGCAAAATCTCTTCAAGACTCAGGTCTCCAGAGGCAGAAATGTAAACTCTCTGGCCGGCTGAGGTTCAGCGCAGGAGGTTCACATCAGCTGCGTGGGTTGCTTCCTACTCTTAAGGACAATTCTGCTTTCAGATTACTGTGTAGAAGCCATTTTTTCCCCCAAGTGTTACTCAATTTCTATAAGGTCATAGATCTTGCATCACAGCTGGAAACTTGAGCATATTTCTGTGTTTCTAGGAGAGCCACTCTATATCTGCGTATTAAGCTTTCATTTTCTTAAAAACTATAACACCCATTCCAACTTCAATTTCTTTGTGTGTTCAGAGTGTAACTAGTGATTTATATAGAGAAATAAGATGATGTATGTATGTATAATCTGTAGTATATATATTTGTATATATGTAACACATATAATTTGTATGTATATATATAACATATATATGAATAGACGTATACACATGCACAAACATGCACACACAAACCTGTTGGATGCTGTGTAAAAATGCATTTCCTTTTCCCATATCTAAACAGCCACTGCTGTAATGGGCGTGGCTATGTCTTTCTTCTCTCAGTATTCCCAGCACCTAGAAAATGCCTGGAATATATCAGGCAGTCAATAAATATAAATATAGAAGTAAATAAAATTGCATTGATAATTAAACTTATAACTTAGCATTCTGTTCACACATCTCCCCTCAAAACAGAAATATGTTAGTGTGTGTTACCATATGAAGTGGTGAGCTGAAAATGGCTTATGAGAAATATATGTGAAAGTGCTTTGTAAAATTTTATATAAATATTGGGTAGTATTATCGTCCCATGAAATACAAACATTGAAAATGTTATACAACACAAGTGTTGTTTTAGTAATAGACCCTAGATTAATAATAACCAATTGATGCTCGATCATTAGCTAAGGAATATGTTTTTGATTTCAAATATCAATAAAAGGGTAACTCATGGATTCAATCATTTTTATTCCTTTCCTTAAACAGCATTGAACGTTTAGCTGTGACATGGGGCAATCTGATAAATGTTCTAACCCTAAGATAGTGCCCTTCATTTGGGTGTGTAGGCATATCATTATAAAAGGTGGTATGTTAGTGATGATATTGATTTCACTATTAAATGTTTAGCGGTTATTTTACGGTACGAATAGAGATCATTTTAATAGCAGAATTAAGGTTTGAAGATATATGCAGAAAATTCTAATGAGGACACAGTATTGATTCCTTAGCCCCAAAGATGGCCAACGGTTCACCAGAGAATGGCTGGGCTGAGGCTGGTGAATCTTAAGCGGTTTAGGCATCAACATGAGAATCATAGAAAACAATAGTTTTCCTCTCTAGAGAAGTGTGAACATTGATTTATTTTGATGGCTATCTTCGTACAACAAGCAGAGTTATTTTAATAGAAAAACAATCCTTTGTTTATTTTATGTGTAGAAGCTGTGTGTTGACTTGAGATGTATTTGGAGAGTTTGTGCTGTGTAAGACCATTTTTCTGGTCTAAAAGCAAGGTAGCACTTCTTTTTCGTTTCCACTGGAGAGAGTTTACCGGAGAATTGCACGGCAACAATTCACCAAGAGTTAACATTACTGAGCCTCTGGCGGGTATATGGGTACAAAACTGGGTCCTTCAAGAAATATATCTTTTAAATGTCCATGTTTAGAGGACTTACTAGATACACTGTCAGAATGCACAGCCATTTGAAGGGAAAAAGAATGGTTCTCTTAGATTGAATGCAGTGTACATTTGCAGTTCATGTTAAATTAGAGTCTATACTGAGACTGGTGCATACGTTCTTCTTTAGCAGCCTATAAAATGGACATAGTACATTAATATTCACATCCTCAAGACTGTGTGACACTGTATTACATGCATGTGGAAATGTATTGTTTTGAGGAAAATAAAACAATGTTGTTTTCGAAAAGGAGTGTCCAATGACAGCTTCATCGTTCATTCCCAACTATTTATTGAGTACCTGCTAAGTGGGAGATGAAGCTTTGGGTGGTGGGGGTTTACACGGCAGTGAACACACACGTGGTGCCTGCGTCTGTGCAGCTTAACTCCTAATGGCATAGTCAGACAATAAACAAATATACAAACAAATGCATATTCTCAGTGTTACACAGGAAGTTAAAGTAGGATGTGGAATGAGGGAGAGGTGCTATTTGAGGTGGCGTCGTCAAGGACAGCCTCTCTGATGAGATGACATTGGAGCCAAGACCTGAAGACCATGTGAATATCTAGGGGAAAAGTGTTCTATCCAGAGGGGATAGCAAGTGCAAAGGCCCTGAGGTAGGAATGAGCTTGGCATGTATGGCTCATGGAGGGGACCATATTGTTAGAGCAGAGGAAGCAAAGCAAAGAGTAGGGGAGCTGCTTTTTAAATGAGGGGTTTTAAGTTGATTGCTTATCATATCCATTTGCAGTCACACCCCTGAGATGCCCCATGAAGGTGCAGATTACAAGAATACAAGACTACAAGTTGATTGACTACTGTACTTTACTTACAAGGCATTTCTTCACATTTATAAGGTCCATTCCTAGCTGCAAAGAGAGCCCTCATCCAGATCCACAGTCAGCATAGGTTGCATTAAGTTCTCAAAGGTAATTTGCTAATTATAGTGGCAATAATCTTGTGCTTTATTTTCATTGTTCTTAGTGATTGCTTTTGTTCCTACCTGTCTAGGGTGGTTTTTTTGCACTAACATGTCAATTGAATAAGCATTCTTCATCTCATATATTGTTTATTAACTATTGAAATAATTGTGTACCATTAATTTCACTAGTAAGTACATTTTAAACTGGAGAATTTGCCCCCCCAGAGGTTTTTTGGGAGGGAATTACCTTCTTAGGGTGAGAGAAGACTATGAACTATTCACTTATAAAATATCAAATATCTTTTATGTTTCCGTAAGAGCCAAAATTCAAGTTAAATCCCCAAAACAAGTGACCTTTTCAAACAGTTAAGAGTAAACTTTAAAATCACCTAAAATAGAGTTTTCTGGAAGACATGATGGCCATCATGCTTTGTGTATTGTCTTTCTCTTACCCATCTGTGAAGATTTTATTAATTTTCATGGCAGTTTGGTACATGCTAAATGTGGATGAAATCTTTAAAATGCAGCAAAAAAGACACCCATTGTAGCTGGAAATAGACCAGCTCGAGCTCATATACACAGGGGAGGAGGGCTGCCGCTTTTAGAATCTGCTTCTCCAACCACAGTCAGACGTCCTCAACTTTTAAGCCTGGAAAAAAATTACTTTCTAATTAAAGGTCATTTTTCTCAATAAAAATAATCTCCTGTTGATGTAGACGACTTGAAAGGACTTATTTCCTTTGCATAGAAGATGGAAGGAAAGCTAGAATTTTCAGCCACAAGGACACCCCCTCCTAGAGACATCAAGCTTGCCTGTCCTCACCACCTTTTCTGACGCTGTGTCCTGTCCAGCTGTGAGGACTGGGCACCAGAGCGGCTCCCGGAGACAGCAGTGTTCCTCTTCTCTGGAGGGCCCCCTGAGGTCTCAGAGTGACTCGTTCGGGATCACAGCATATGCTGACAGCGCGTCATCCTCCTTTCAGGAGCCCTGCTGGGGATGCATCCTTGATCGAGAAATTGGCATTAGAGAGTTGTCGCGTTTCACTTAAAGATGACAATTTGATGAGGCAGATCTAACCTTTTGATTAATTGCCTGCAACTGGCAATGCGAAAGCTAGAGTTAAAATGCACTGCTCCCGTATTTTCTTATTTAAACCAAACTCAACCTAATTTCAGTTTTTAGAAATATCATATGTGGTGATAACAAGTTCCGCCAGAGTCACGACTGGTCCTGTTGGGTCAACCTGATAGAGAAAATAGAGATTAGGAAGGTTCCCAGATTATTAGGGAGGATTTTCTGTTGGGATGAAAACTGTGTGAGAATGAATACTAGAAAGCTAAAGAGAAAGTTCCTTTCTTAAAGTTCACATAAAATACTGCATTTTTAAAAGTACCTGAGAAGAGAGAGTTGGGCTGCAAACTGAAATGCCAACAGGAGCCAGGCATTTAATATTTATTCAATAAATAAATAAGTGCCGTTTCCCATGACCCAGACGTCTGACCTGCACACACTGTTTGCCTGTGAGATGCCAAAGGACACAGTCTTCCCTTTTGCAAAGAAATATGTTCTCTCCAATTCTGTGTGAAACATGGGCCCTCTCAGTCCATCTCTGCTTTTTCCCTCTCTCTTAGAGGCTAGGATACCATGAAATATTTCCTACCATAAGAAAAACAACAGTGCCAGCAGTAATCCGTGGTCACTGACAATCGGCCTTTGTGTCAGAAGGGCGATGGCCAGTGGTGGAGTCACACTGGAGACATACGGCCTGTTTCAAGGCAGCTACCGCGCCTCATCTTGACTGTTGCCAGGCGGAAGTACAAGCCAAGCATCGTCAGATATTTCGATTTTGCAGTAAAAGCCAGGAATCTGGTTTTTTAATGAGAAATCTCCCAATTTTAAAAGGTTGATTCTATTTTAAAAAAATACCTTGTTGGCTAACAAAATGTACTTATATTTCAAATTTTGCCTGTGGTTGCCAGTTTCTAAGCTGTGCATTGCATATTCTATAGCAAAAAAAAAAAAGAAAGAAAGCTGTTTATTCATTTATTCATTCCTTCAACAAACATTTATTGAGTACCACATCATGACTGGTGCTATGGAACTTTCAAGGATAAATAGTACATTGCACTCAGAGAACTGAGTCTGGTGGGTGTCTCACCCTAGCCTGGAAAATAGATCCATACTCATAGTTCAATTATGCCCAGTATGTTTATAGGCTTCAAATCAACTCTCACAGTGCAGTCTGTCACCTGACCTTCAGTAAATCTAGTTTCCTTCCAATAGGATCTATCAATAAACTCAGCCCATTTGTATCAATGTGAATACATGTTCAAAGCATAATAGTGAGAAAAAAATTAAAAACTTGCAAAAAAATATGCAGAATGATTTTATGTGAATTTCTAAGGCACACAAAACAATAGTATATGTTATAGAAGCATCCAGCTGTAGGAAAAGTGTAGAATCCTCCACAGCCGAAGGATAACGACACTTGCTTGAGAGGGGTGCTTGCCTCTGGGGGAAGAGGGAGGGAAATGAGATGGAGATGTTGGTCTCTAGTTGTATCTGCAACACTTTATTTCTTCAAGAATATCTGATGCAATTTCAACAAAATGTAAACATTTGTTGCATCTTGATGACGGATACTTAGGCATCCCATATTTTCTCCATCTTCCTGCCTACAGTAGTTTCCATAGATTATAAAAATAAAATAAGAATGTAAAAAATCGGCATGACTAAATTAGATTTTTTCCCTTTATTTCTAAGGGAATGGCTTTTCTAAATTTCACCATTGCTTTAGTGGCGCTAGCCTCCCAGACTGAAATTATTTAAATTGTCCGTCTTGTTCATCCCCAGTGGCTAACCCAATCTATTACCTATGAAATCTACCTTCAAAACGTCTCTTTCTGTTTTTATTGTATCGTTATGTGTCATCATTTCAACCTCTGCTCGCTGGCACGGTGGCCGCCCAACTCGCTGTTCCATGCAGTCGTCCTGCATCCGTTGACTTCTGCATGTGAAGGGCTTTCGTCCCTGTTCTCTCTGAGCCTGTGGACCTCAGGTCACTGCAGTCTGTGTCCAGTCCTGAGCCCAGTAGGCCACTCCAGATGCCACCCAATGCTGGATGTTTCAGTTCAAGGTTTGGTCCACAGATACTTACCTTGTTTTTAAGTGTGGCTATGCCCCCTTCATTTTGTTTTAAATTTTCATTGCTATGTGTTTGGCATGAGTGGGAGGAATTCTGTGTGTACTCATGCCACAGTCCACTGCATTGCAGTGATATTTTGGGCGATTATCTTGGATGGAGTATACAGTAGATCGGTCAAATTCTTATAGCAAGTAGTTTCTTCCCTTAGGTCCAGTGTGGACTGGCAGTTTCTTGTTTCAGTGTCCTCTTCAGCAACATCAACGCTGACACGCCAGATTGAAGCATGTAGAAACTGAGGAAAAGGTGATATTGAGATGAAGCTTCTGTTCTGTACATCAGCTTAATAAATGAAGGAATTGCCAATCCAGAGATGTTAGATTGTTCACTGATTCTGTTGCCAAAATTAGTACTCACTCTGGGTGATATTTTCAGGAGATTTGTGGGCTGGTACAAAGAATTGCTAAATATCCTGTGAAAAATTGCTAAGTATTCTGTTCAGCTTACTGGGGCACCTAAAGTTTATAAGTGCCTAATTTTAACTACTTGGTGTTTTCGCCAAAAATAGATGTTTGGAAAGTGAAGTAGTAATTAGATTGATTACATATTAATACTTGTGGGGAAAAGATTTTTTTTTTATCCCCTTTTAAATTTAGCAACAGGGAAAATTGTTTGTGGAGAATGAGAGCCTGTGATCTAGGAATCAGTGTCAAGGAAGCCAAGGATTCCGCTTTTACCGTGAGTGGCAAAACCGTCGCACATTCGCTGGCTACAGTTTTTCTGGCACAGAATCGTTGTGAGCACAAGAGAATTTATCACGGAACAACCAAATAAGAACACTTTTGTATTGGAGGTTCTTTAGATAGTCTTCTTTACTTTTGGAATCTTTCCAGTAGAGCAACTGGCATTCCTGCTTTACAGATCAAACAAACTGGAGATGAAACCCTGCAGCCAGTCGCAAAATCCTCATTTGCACCTTTCTGCCGTCTGTGAGGTGTCCACAGCACTGAAGAAAGACCCAAGTAGGCGTCTCTGGAGTGGAAATCTTTCATCTGATCCTGAGAGGAAAGGCTAGACTCCTCATTAGTCCCGTCAGCCTTGGCCATGGTGGGCAGAGCACATGGAGAGAGAGATGGCACAGCAGCCTGCAGCACCCGCTGTGCAGAGGCCCCCGCTGGGCGACTCTGCCCGTGGACACCCACACTAACCGCCCAGTGCCCGCTGCCAGCCTTCCAACTCTTGTTTTCTCTCTCCCTTGTGTTAGATTCCCCATGACAACAAACCACTATCGCTGATAATTCCTTGTTTCCTCCATAGCTCCCACTATAGGACTCACATTTTGGAGTGATGGAACAAGAATTTGTTGCACATGCTTTGAATTTTATTAAGAAAACTTCTCACTTTTCCCAAATGGTGGAATACTTCTCTTCCATTAAATTTAAACGTACTACGCAGAACCCCATTTGCTTCCTAGTATTTAAATTTTTCTCACAATAATTTTCAGATGCCACAACCTCTGCTGAGAAAACTCTCAAATGTGGTGTCATTATAGCAGGAAATGGGTCTACACAGCCCCACCTGCTCCCTTCCTGATTCTAGTATTTTTTCCTTAATAAAAACAATGTATTCAGAAGTGATGGATGATATTATTTAGTTTAGAAAGAAGCAGCGAAAGTTCCCCCTCTCTCCTCCTTAGTGTTATGTCCATGGAGATTTCCGCCAAGCGAAGGAATTTTTTTCCTCATCACCCAATATTGTAAAATTCTACTTCACATGTCGCCCTCGTGCTAGGGAACGGTTACAGATACGATCCTAACATGCTTGTTTGCTGTTTCCCCAATTAGTCGTGGTGTATTAAGTGAATAAAATCTTCTGAAGTCTTTTGGCAGCTGTTTTTGCTGAAGTGCTCTTATCTATGCTAAAAGATCAATAATTGTGAGTATTCTGATTTGGAAATAAAGAGAAATGGAGAATGTTGGTGGGGAGGGAAGCTAAATGACAGGGTTAGGAAACAGTCCTTAGAGCAGAACACAAAAGCTTCAGATTTAGGAAATAATTGAAATTTTGCTGATGCCTCTCCCCGAACCTCCAGCTCTCCTGGGCTCTGCAGAAGATTCTAGGATGTGAAATGAATCGAGGATCAAACCTGCTTTAGGATAATCCTTTCATCTATGGAATGTGAATGTAAGGAGATTAATGGATACCATGAATTGACATGACGCTCTAGGTTTCTTATTTTGGTGCTTAATATTTCAGAGTTGCTAGACCACTGATTGACTAGGCAGGGTGGAATCCCCTAAAACTACAAAATATGTGCGTCCTGATGGGAAATGAATGCTCTAGCAGGAGGGCCTAACACGTTTAGGGAATACATACCAACACATAGTAGGCGATAATAATAGCTACTCACGACGTTGACTGAGCTCTTTCAATGTATATTAAGCATCATTCTGAGTGTCCCCATCTTATCCCCTTTAATCCCACCACAGACAGGGCCGTGAGTTGGGTGTTATTACCATGCCCCTTTTAAACATGAGGAGGTCTGGGGACAGGGAAGCTAAGTGGTTTCCCCGAAGTCGCGCTGCTAGATTTGAATGTGGTCCGTGTGGAACCAGAGCACCACACTGTTACCTGTCTACATTTACAGTAAATATTTGCTGGATAAATGAGGGGTAGTAGTTTGAGGGAAGAGTTTAGTCCTCAAGTGTGTTGGGGTTGCCAGTTGGGTTTGTAGAAGAACGTTGCACAACATTGCAAGAACCTGATAATCTAAAATATTCCATACCCAAAACTAGAAAACACAAGGGTAGCACCAGTATATGTTTGTGCTCATTGCAAACCACGTATCAAAGCTCAGAGAGAGCATCTTTGATCTGTAATGTCCTATGCATTTCAAACTTTGGTTTCTTCTCCAATTCTTTCTTGATAATTAAGATCAACCTGTGGTCTAAACCCCTGAATAGTGAATAACAGTGACCAGTATGTATAAGCTATCCTTCAAAGAAGGTATTACTTGTCTGGTGCTTGAGATAATGCGTGAAGTATTTCCATTCAGCCCTTTCTACTGAGAAAACTTAAGTTGCATCTCCCAGACTGTATTCTACTAAAATTCAAATTCCAAAACATAACACGTGCAAAGCTTCATCTTTGAGGGCTCAAAATTTCCTCAGCATCAGACTGACAACAGATAAGATAATTTCTCTCTAGTAAAATACACTTTATTTGCTTACTAAATTTCTTGGGCAAAACCCATGAGAGTAATGAATATTTCTGTTCTGATGCTCCTTTTCTCCCTCAAGCATCCTGAGATATAGCTGGCATAGATGTGCTTTGGCCAGTAAGGTAGCCCATTGGCCAGAGGACCCAATAGGCTTTTAAAAGCACGAGTCCATCAATGACTTCACCTGGGGTACCGATCTCTGGTGCTGCACAGGTGGGGCAGGCTCCTCTCACTTGGACTTGGGGCCCACCATCATGGGGCCCAGGGACGGGGTGGCCAGGAAAGCCTGTGCTTGTTCACTCAGCTGTTGTTGGGGGAAGACAGGCAGAGAGTGGATGCTGGGACGTGGGCGAAAGATATAAAACTTTGAAGCTTTAAGTCTCAGATCTGTCGCTCACTGGATGTATTCCCTGGGAGCACTCTAAAAGCTTTCTGAGGCCCAGTTTTCCCTTTCTCTAAATAAACATAATACCTAGCCCTAAAACTCACCACTTTGGTCCATACCATAAGGAATACAGTATTTCCAACCTCTTCTCTCACTACCTGACAACCCAAGAAAATCAGATACATCCCTCCATCTGTATAGGTATGTGCTTTTTCTATTTCAGTGTCTTTGATTATGTTGTTCTTGCTGCCTGGTGCATCCATGTTCCTCATTTCCTTGGATCTGAAACCTACCTCTTTTGCAAGTCCTAGTTTAGATACTTCATCTAAAATGAAACTTTCCACACTTCCACCAAGCACAAGTAATTTTCTCTCCTCTTTGTTCCAGCTACCCTGGCAACACTCGAGGGCATTTGGCATGCCCTTCCTTGGGTTGCACCCATTTATATGCTGCTTGCCTCTGTCCTCCTGGACTGCAAGCTCCTTGTGAGGGAAATCGTGTCTGTTCCATCGCTGGATCCCTGTACGGTGCTCAGCATGGCTCCTTGCACGTTGACAGTCAATAATTGTGTGTTGAATTGAATTGAATGAGAGGGGGAAACTGAACTTTGTGCAAATCTCTGGACCTTTCTCTCGGCCCAGGCTTGAGGGACTCAGCTTCTATGACGGAATCTGATACAACGTGAGGTGATGAGGGAGACAGAGCTGATGCTTTCTGCACTTCTCCTGCTTGTAATCTTCTGTATTCTTCAGTAATCGATTGCTCCTGGTAGAAGGATGCACTCTCGGGGTTTTATAGATTGATTTTATACATTTTTATGTATAGATTTTGTAAAATTTTAAAAATACTACCAAAGAGAATCAAGCCAGACCAAGTTCAAACATGAAATTGCAGGGGAAAGATGCAAACATTCTGCATTTTATTTGATTTAGGTTAAGAAACGCATTGATTTTTTCTCTCAGTTATTGCATATGGTCTTGTTTTTTCAATTACAAGAGTGTTCATTCCTTTCTTTGCTTATCCCCTGTGAGTCCATATGGTAAAAAACCAAGAGAATGAATTTGCACATTGCCATGTGTATGATAAAATGGAAGTCACAAAATGAACCTAAGTTTATCAATAGTGTTCACTTGTCGGGATCATTGACATATCTTATGTATTGATTTTTCCCTCTATATTGTTTTAGAAATATTTAGTTACCAAGTTTCCTTTACAGTGTTATTCATGCAACTAGGTGATACAAAAATGCCTTTAAATATCCAGATAAAAAACTGAACTTTAGCTGTGGATTCACATTGGACAGTCTGCTGCTGAAGATTTGCCATCAGTGAACCTCAAAAATATTACAGCGTGGGTAATAATCTCACCAGCTCTCCTGCTCTTGGTGCCTTCAGCCCTTCTCGCACAGAATCCTGGACTCGAATACATTGTTCTGTCTGCCTCTTTCCTTGCTTCTCGGCAGCTAGTAATTAACCCAAAGGACTCAGTCTTTCAGAAGGTTTTCACAACCCCAGTGATCACACTGGAATGCTTTAGAATGAAAGGAACATTTTGGCTGATATTCAATTCGACAGACATTTATCGAGCAACTGCCGTGGGCTGGAAATCCAGAGACGCCCATCCACTCCTTGTTTTGTTTAAGTTTAGAGAGGGATGAAGACACGCACCCAGCTCTCACACAGGTCAAACCATGATGAACATGAACAGGGAGAGGAGAGCAGGTCAGGATGGGAAGGAAAAGCACTAACACTTACTGCAGACCATATCCTCTCAGGAGTGGTAGCAAAACATTCAACGGTCTCTACGGCCAGACACTCACCAGACAGAGCGGACAGTGGCCACAGCCTGCAGCAGAGTCCTGCAGAGCCATACCCCTTGAGTTGCCAGATCACAGGCAGGTCTGAGGGCTTTGGGTCGAGGGAGAGGAAGGCACTGGCAGGGGTAGGGGATGCGGGGAAGCACATGAAGGCAGCAGCTTTTACTACCTGTTTTCACAGTGTTTTGATATTTGGCATACCCCTGAAATGGCCATCTTGGTGCACAGTGGCTGAGGATCAAACATGGCCACCCCGTGAGCTGAGTATTAGTAAGAAGAATTATAAAATGAGGAAGTCATGTATTCGGGAGGGGATCAAGGTGCACAGCGAGTAGAAGAGAGGATGGAGTTTAACCTGCGTCTCCCTCGTCCATCCGTAATAGTAACTAATTCATTCTGACAAATCCAGAGAAGGAGGGGGAGGAGGAAGATGCTTATGATGCACAGAGAAAGCGCCTGTGAGCTGGGCCTTTAAAGTCAAAAGATATTTTATCATCTCATCTCCAAGAATATGTGATGTCAGGTTAGTTTGTTCCACCCCCAGGAAGGATCATCTTAATGCTCTTTCCTCACTAGCCTTCTCTCCCTTCCTTTCTTCCCACGCTTACCACTTTCCTCGGACAAAAGTTCTTAGTCTAGCGTTCAGGTGCAAGGGGGGCATGAATGAGCTTCGGGGACCCTAGAACCCATTGCAGTTGTGTCTGCCAACATGCTTTTCTTTTTTACCCTTTTTCCCATTTTTTTCCCCAAAGTATTTAAAGGCTGGTTAAGCAGCACTTATATTTCTCAATTATAATTTGATTTCATTTATTGTTTTATTAAATAGAATATTTACATTCTCTTGGGAATTGTGTAAATATGGAATTTGGTCCTCAAAAGTTTTAGGAAGTTAATTCAAGGATATTGCATCCCAATATGCATTTTTGTGGGAAGATGATCCTTAGTTTTCTTCTGGTTCTCAAGGCCTCTGTATAACTCCATTACATTAAAGGAAACTAAAAATGTTCCACAGGTGGAAATTTTAAGTATTATGATGTCATATAATGTAACATTCTGAAAATCCAACATATCCGCATGAATTTCAAAGACCTGAAAAAGTGAGTACTCTTTCTTTGTCACTTACATTTATATTACTGTCAAATAATGGCATTTCGGCTTGCACATACCAGTGAATATGCTAAGCATCTTAGAGAAATGAGAGACCTCAGAACTTAGGCACTCGACTTTGGCAGACATGGCCGCATGTTAGCCATGGCCACATGTTAGCCATGGCTGACATTTAGAGACCGCAGGTCATACGGGCAGTGCCAGCACATCAGTGCAGTGGTCAAGTTCAAGCTCAGGATCCGACAGCTGGGGTTGTACTTTGGCTGTTGCTTCCCTGCTCTGTAGCTTCAGACAAGTTACTTAACCTCCAGGTGCCCACATATCCTCATCTTGAACATGAGGGTCCTAATAGTTCCTATTTTCTATAGTTCTTGTGGAGATTAAGTCGTTGATGTAAAGTGGGCTGCTGGACCCTTGCACTAAGGCCACAGTGACAGAGGATCCGAGAACCCAACGTTCTCCGAAATGCCCCTCCTGTCCGCTCTCACCTCATCTTTCTCCCTGGCCTATTTGTCATCACTTTTGTGCCAGGATCCCCTGTGGCTGTCCTCTCATCTTCATCCATGGCTTTCCCTGTCGCATTGGTGGGGTTGGGACAGATAGAAGGAATGAAAACTGTGACATGATTCTGGAGGCTTGTCCTGTTTTAATGTAGCAAATAAAAATACCTCAAGATTCCAGAACTACTCATTTGATCGAGTAAAACTCAAGACAAAAGGAAGCAGCTCCTCTATTTTATGCTTTACCCAACAAAGCTTGTATTCTTTGTTCCCTAAGACATTTCTAAAGTACAATTTACACTTGTGGCCATGTCAGTGAAACCATCCATCAACAAACACTGCTTGAGAGCTCAATGTACATAAAACATAAAGGGAGATAAAAAGTAATTGATTTGTTAAAACTAAACACACAGGATGCAATGATTAGCAAAGATTCGGTGAGTATTGTCATGCATTCCTATTTAACTGAAATCTCGTGTACCTTTTCTTGTGTTTAGAGTTTTATAAAAGATGAATGGACATGGCGGCCCATCTTGAGAAAGCCACGGCAAACTCAGTTAAGAAACATCGCTCTAACACTTCTGAACCTTCTCTTCCAGCAAGTGTAATCCCCAACAGCATCTCCTTTAATACTGATGGTTCCATCCAATATAAAGAAAAGCCATATTCCTCTGCCTCTGAAGCTCTAGACGCTTACATTGACGATTTTCATTTAAACTGTGAGCTTGCTGATATTAATGATGCAAAGGTTAGCCTGGATCAGAGCCCTCTTGAAGTTCTTGCTAAACTAAACAGTGGTAAGCTTTCCTTATTCTCTGAGTTTAATTTTTAATTATCTGTAGAAAGCTGATGCTCTGAGAAGTTATATACTCTAAAAAACTTTTTCCTTGTAAAATAGTTGTCTTACAGTTCATGAATCTTTTCATAAGATTGTTACATAATTTTACGGTCCCGAAACTTTTTTGGCAATGGATTCCTTTAAATTCAGAGTGAATTATAGAAAATGCTTCCCAGGCTTGATTTCAGAGTGGCAAAGCTGTGGCCTTGGGCTATAAAGCCTTGAGCTTTGTGACTGAAAGTGTGACAAAGGCACTTAAATACTCCAACCTACAGTTATCCCTTTATAAAATGAGAATAATAAGAATAATACCTCACAGGTTATTGTGGGAACTAAATGCATGTGGAAATGCTCTGTGAATTGTCGTGGCTGTGGACTCCTCAGGTTCTTTCTGTAGCACAGGGAACACCTCTGTTACAAGAGGTGGACGACTTGAGCTCAGGCTCCATCCTGCTGATGACACGGGGGCGCAGAAGAGTCCCTGGGCTTTAGTGTTTCTGTCAATAGGATGAAGAGACTAAACGCTGTTAGCTCCATAACTTTAAAATTCCATGTTATGTAAATGGAAGAAAAATAAAATTGGTCAACGTCAATATTTCTCGTTTAAAAAGTGTCATTTGTAGAAGCTGAAAAAAATACTATCATGAAAGCAAAACAGGATGTGAATCTGAATTTGTGGCTGATTGCCCATGAAACCCTTGGAGAAATAAACTCCTCTGATAGTGACTTCTCTTATCTATGTGATAGGAATAATAATAATAAGAGTAGAAGTTCCTGGCCCTCCACAAACATGGTCTTTTCGAGATTATATGTTAGCATGCCCAAAAAGAATATTGGAAAAACTCTACATTACAAAAGTAAGGTAGCATTTATTCTTGTTGGTTTTAGATTATTATGAAAAAAATTTACCATATTGTTGCCTGCTAGACTCGATATGCAAAGTTAGAGTCCGTGGAACAGCTTCTTATTGCTTCATAAGTGAAAAAACATAGAGTGACATGAGGACTCGTGCAGATGTGACATGGTCCTCCCGAAGAGAGAACATGCCTCTTTAAGCTAGTCGTACTGGTTGTAGTACTTGATGTGGTTTGATAACCGGGCAGCATGATGTGGGGACTGAGTGTGAAAGTGTGATGTAAGTGTCTGTGTTATCTGTGCCATTGAAGTGCAGATGTATTGTAATTTATTCAGTAGTGCCACTGGTTTTCCTGACAAGGGCTTTCATTCTTTTTTTGAGGTTCGGTGGTAGAAAGAGTTTTTTTGTGTCAGTTTTCCTCCTTGAATCCAGAGACGAGACTGTAGCTGGCTCTTGTTAATGACTCGGAATAAGATACAGGCGCTCACTCTGTCCCACATCCTTTTCAGTTATTAACTCCACCGTCAGTGTTATCTTGACACTTCTTTATAAAGGGAAATAGAGTTTCACTTTTTTATGATTATAAAAGTAGTATGTACTCATGGCAAGAAAATTTCAGAAACCCTTAAGAAGGAAACAAAAACCAACCGTAATCCCAACAGAGAAAACTTCTGTTAATGGTCCCATATAAATTTCCCCTTTTTCACTGAAAATATATATGATGGAATTTACTATCCACACTGTTGCATTTCCTTGTTTATTCACTTACCAATATATTGTGAATATCTGTTCATGTTATTAAAATAGTTCTGTATCTTTACATTAAATGGTGCTAAAGTGTTTCCTGGTCTCTGTCAAGACATTTGAGTTGTCACTAGTATCTTTACTATTCCAAATGTTGCCATTGCCACCATTGTACATACATGTTTGGGTAGGTGTCCAGTTTTCTCCTTAGGATAAATTCCTAGGAGTGGAGTTTCTGGGTCAAACAGCACTCACATGTTTGAGAGTTTGATTTGTATTGTTAAATTGTTTTCCAGAAGGGACATACAGTGTTAGACGTTCTCACCAGTGGAGTGGAAGGGTCCTCGTTCCCCAGTAATCTCACTGCCCGTGAATATTACAAGCTTCTTCAATCCTTGCCAATCTGCTGGGCGAAAATTGATGTCTGGCTTACATGCGCCTCAGATGTTAGACGTGTGAGATGTTACACGTGTACCACTCGCCTCAGATCTTACACATGTAACACTCACCTCAGATCTTGAAAGTCAAATGATTTTCCTTGTTGTGGAAAATGTGCTTTGAGAGAACCAGAGAGAAAATTCCCTTGAAAGATTTTGGCAAAACCCTGTGTGGCTTTTACTTAAAACATTAATCCCTTGAATACTTCTTTTAGTTTTTGTGCTCATATGTGGAAAAAATGACCCAACAATGCTCTAACAGGCTATTTTTGGATGAGAGAGTTGTTCATTTACAATAATGAAAAATCATAACTATTGATTTGAAGGTGGACTGATCTAGAAACCAAAGTAGAGTTTCAGTGAATGTAAGAAAGAAAAAATTTTGTACTGCTCCTCAAAGCAACTTTGAAAGGCATTGTCTGAGATTTCTGTCCTACCTTAGGTATCTCTGGGGCATTGTGCCGTATAATCTATTTGTAGTTTTAAGGTGGAGAAATAAAGAATTTGTTTTAAAGTCATCTTGTTATTCTAAGGATGATAAATTTATTTTTTAATCTGCACTTGTCTGGTTTTGAATGAACAAACTACATGCATTTATTTAGTGCCAAATATGTGCTAAATAATATGCTTGGAATTAGGAGTGGAGAGTCAAGCAAGGAATCTGTTTGAATAACCATGACCCCTACCTTCAAGGACCTCATAGTTTATTGGTAATTCAAATAAGCATAACACCAACAATTGTCTTCAGCGTGGTAAGGCCTAAGGTGGAAGCATGCATGAGGTCTGGGAGCTAGAGAACGTGCACCTCCAGCTGGATGGATGATTGGAGAGGCTCTTAGAGGAAATGACCCTTCAACTGAATTTTGGAGGCCAGGTAGAAAACATCAGGCCAAAAAGAGAAGGAGCGAGAGCTTTCTAGAGAGAGGTGTGGGTATGTGGAAAGGCACGTCATGCATTCAAGAGCCTACTGGTAAGTTCAGGATGGACAGAAAGAAGAAGGATGTTGTTTAATTCTATTTCCTGAGAGTTTGTCTCAACTTGAGTTTTAATTCTACTGGTATAGCTGTGTGTGTACTAAATTCATCCAGTTCTTCATATGTGTCATGAGAAAACAGAGTTTGCTCATTCTGATGAGTGGCAATTTTTAATAGAAAAATGACAATGTGGCTATTTTATGCAGGTGTTTTCTACAACTTTTATCTCTGAAATTTTAGACTTTCATACTAGAAAATACAAAAATTTTTTAAAAATTAAGAATTTGATCACAGTTCAAGTGGACATTTTATGCTGGATTGTTTATCAGTTTTTTCCATGGTTCTTTCTGACTCCTGGAACAATTACTTAATCCCTTCAAAGCCTGCCTACCTGAAAGAGTCTTGTTCCACTTGCTACCCGGCCCCTGTGGGCGCACCTCGACTTGGTCTCCACTCCGACTACTGCACTGTAATTGGTCCCTTGATGCTGGCGTCCTGCTTCACTAATCCACTCTATAGAACGCGCTGCTTCATGCTATGAGATGTCGCTAATACCGTTCCCTCCTGCTTGAAATAGCCTCAGTCCCCAACACATGCACCTTCCTCATATGAGTGGCTCTGCTCACCCTTCGGAACCCAGCTCAAGCTGAGCCTCTGCCAGAACGTCTGCCTAATCCTTTTCTACCCAGATGCCCTGTCTCTGTGCTCCTGCCTCCCACCTCCGTGGCCCTTGAGTATACTAATAGGAGTATCCTCTGCTATTAGTACACGGTAGTACTCATAGTAATAAAATACTTAACATGTATTAGTATATATAGGATACATGCATATGAGTGTATGTATATTTGCTACTAATAGTGACACCTAACATTTATTAAATTCCTACTATGTGTCAGGCTATTAAATGTTTTATATGCGTTCTATCTTCTAGTACTCACAACTACCCTTTGAGATCGTATCCCCATTTTACAAAGAAGCTCAGACACAGAGAGGTTGTGTGAGATGCCCCAGGCCATAGAGCTGTAGGTGTTGCCTCTGACTCCTTGACTCCGAGGCCCCCACTCAGAGCCCAAGGTCCCACGTGCACTTTACGTGTGTTATGAATAAAGTCATGGGAGATACGACAGAGACCAAAAAAAAGAGAACAAAAGAAATCGTAAGACTCACGGTAGACATGATGATCTGAGTTTTAAAGAAGGACCAAAATTGGCAGACTCGGTTTCATATTTTATTTCTTTGATTCATCTTTGTAGGAACTAATTAATGAGCAGGAATAAAGCCAAAAAGATAAGAAAAGCCCTTAAATTGGGGGAGGAAGCCAAGAGCCTGGCTAATTAGCTCTTGACTCGTGAATTTTTGTCATCATTTAGAAAACTATTTTTAAGGCAGTCGTAGAGAGGGAGTATAGTGACTGAGTCCTGGGCTTTGAGCGAGAAGAGCTAGCTTTGAATTCCAGCTCTCTCGCTCACCTGCGCTGCAACCCTGGACAGGTTATTTAATCTCGCTCGCTCTCTCTCTCATTTCATACATAAAATAGAAAAGTAACACCTATCAAGGATGATATAGTGAGGATTAAATAAAATGATAAATGTGAATGTACCTAAAACAGTTATGTGTCACATTGCCAGTGCCCCCAGAATAATTTGTGTACTCTGGTGGAATAAAATGTAAACTATAGCATTTCTTGGTGGTTTCAGCGTTCTCTTGTTACCTCTTAGCTCTCCGAGACTCTAACAGCTCACCATCGCTCCTGCCTCCAGCCGTAACAAAGATTGCTGTATGTTTTCATGTGGACAGCTACGTGCTCACCCCCAGGGGACAGTTGCTCCTGACTGTGGGTATAAGCCTACGGCGTGTATCTCACTGGCCCTCGGACCTTACATATACCATGCCGAGTCTTGGTTGACAGCATATGAAAGATTTTTTACCATTCACAGTGCATTTGGTA